AAGAATTACAAAGGAAACCAGTTGTTTAAATACAATTATTAAACTATTAATAGAACAAATCTGTAACGTAATAATGCTCCTTTATTTACACATTAAATGACAAGATCTAGGAGGCAGTGTAGTAACTATCATAATTTTGAAGCTGGTCATCAGTATAAATGCTTTTTGAGATATTTATAACCAACTGTAACATGATATGAAAATACCGTGATTTCATATAGGTTTTGATAATGTTACTGTGGTTTGTTTTCCATAGCCCTGACTGAAATGCTAAATTTCAGTTGTAGTTAAAAATACAAATTTTCCCCCAAGTTCACAGACGTCTTAAGTGGAGTCTATTGACCTAGGTTAAGAACTCCTAAGGCTGGGCGCGGTGGCTCACGCCTGTAATCCCAGCACTTTGGGAGGCTGAGGTCGGCGGATCACGAGGTCAGGAGATTGAGACCATCCTGGCTAACACGGTGAAACCCCGTCTCTATAAAACTACAAAGAATTAGCCGGGCATGGTGGTGGGCGCCTGTAGTCCCAGCTACTCGGGAGGCTGAAGCAGGAAAATGGTGTGAACCCTGGAGGCGGAGCTTGCAGTGATGCGAGATCCCACCACTGCATTCCAGCCTGGGCGACAGAGCGACACTCCGTCTCAAAAAAACAAAAACAAAAACAAACTCCTAAGCCTAGTCCAAAGTGCATAGGCACTGAGCTTCTTCCTATAGCTAAAAGGCTCATCCTGTAGAATTGGGCACTTGCCCAGGGCTCTACGCAGGGGATATGAAGAATGTGGGAAGAGACAACTGTCAGTGGATCAGGGAGGCAAGACCCCTTCTTACCTTAATAATTATCCCATTGCTGCATTAAAAGCACCACTGATGTTTGTCCCACATTTAATGCTGTAAAGTACATTAAAAAGCTAACTCAATTATGCCTGAAAGGGCAGAGTACACATAAAATGCTATGTAGTTTTTCCTAATATCAGGGGAATCACAACAGTGAATGCCTTCAGCAACTAGGCAGATAACTTGAGAGAAGTAAACAGGTAATAAAGTAGACAATTTTTAATTCTGTTTCACCATTTTGTAGAGTCCAGTAGTGAGGTCACTGGAGAATGCAGACAAATGATAATCAGCTCTACCTAATTATTGCCAGGTGGAAATAAGAAAATAGGGCTGCCAGAGCTTTTAATTTTTTTTTATTAAAAAAATAAGTGGCCGGGCACGATGACTCACGCCTGTAATCCCAGCACTTTGGGAGGCCAAGACGGGTGGTTCACTTGAGGTCAGGAGTTCAAGACCAGCCTGGCCAACATGGTGAAACTCTGTCTCTACTGAAAATACAAAAATTAGCCCGTCATGATGGCTGGTGCCTGTAATCCTAGCTACTCAGAGAGCTGAGGCAGGAGAATCACTTGAACCTGGGAGGCGGAGGTTGCGGTGAGCTGAGATAGCACCACTGCACTTCAGCTTGGGCAACAGAGCAAGACTCCGTCTTAAATAAACAAACAAATAAATAAAGCTAAAATGTGAAACTTTAATGACTTTTTTTCCTATTTTTGAACACGACCAGCTAATTTTAAAACTTTTTTTTTAACTGCATGGGTCACATAAAACACATCTGTAGAACCTCTAGGTCACCAGTTTGTTAACTTGATTATTTAGAGAGCACCTTGCAGGGACTATGCACAAAATAGGCAATCACTAAGTATTTACAGACGATAGCAAACTTCAACTTCCTTATTGCATCCAAAGGCAAGGGCACTAAATGGTGTAAAAGACTTCAAATGCAGGGAAAGACAAGACAACGGGATTTGTCCTGCTCCTAGGGCAAATCAGGAAGGAAATAATTTCCAGGGTCTAGGGGAGGAAACAGGGTTCAAGAATGAAGAGAGTACCTAATTCACAACAAAAGGCCAAGTTCTCTTCAGAGGATTTTATTTCAAGATATATCATAACTTCTACCCATACTATGATTTCAAAGGGTGAAAAAAGTGTTTTGTCTCTTCTACCCTCCAAAGAGGGCATGGCAATGCCAATGTCTCTAAAATGCCTCCGCATAGTTGTCAGAAGCTATATTTCAGTCATTGAAAATACTTGTCCATTTTCAGCTGAGGTGAGGTTTGTTAGGAAACCTCTGTAACAATTTATTCAATTTATTTGGAGGTAAACTCCCAGACTCTCGTATTGATCTCATCTTTCGGGCTTCCTGAAAACACAGAACAAATACAAGAATGACAGCTCTACAGTGTGTCTAGTGCAGACTTTTAAGATCTGACCCAAAAAATCAATCAATAAATCAAGTTTGTCCTGATCTAGGCCCATAGTTCTCACAATGCCCTAAAGCACATGAAGATGTTAACCAGCCTGGAGAGATCTATGTCAGCCGCTCTTCAACAAAAGGGCGTTGGGACCTACAAATGAGACTCTGCTCAGAAGCTACTATCTCTGCTAGCAATTAAGCCTAGGCTGGAAACCAAACAATTATCATTATTTAGTTTTAGTCTCTTTAGTTCTATTTCAGACAATAATGTCTACTTGAGCAGCGCTATACATTTTTCAAAATGGTTTTCCCATTCATTACTTCATCTGACAGTCACAACATTCTTCAAAGTGGTATTAGCCTCATTTTACGTATAGTAATGGTAAAGTTCAGAACAATGAATAAATCCGTCAAGATCACACAGCCTTCAAAACTGTAACCTTTCCCACTTTGGCGTGAATAATATACCTCCCAAATGAATGAAAGGGCCTTTCCTAGCAAAAGGCAGGGAGAATCATTACTTGTATCTCCCCCATTCTTTTCCTGAGAAAGCACCCCAGGAGCCATCATCGGTCACCTGAGCCTTCGCGGCACAATCGAGGAAGCCCTGGATCTCTTTTCTGCACACATCGTCGCGGAATTCATTCTGCTTCCAGCAAGCCATCATCACCGCCATCTCCGTGATGCAAGTCGCCTCTGGAGGGGCAGATCCGGGGGACCTTCAGTCACAAGAAGACCCACCTTCCTGCCCTCCTACCCACCCGCCTCTGCTCATGCTCCGGCTTCCGCTCCGGGGCCCTCCTGACACCGACTGCTCACCGCCCTTCTCCCGGCTACGCTCCGCGACGCGGTTAGCTAGAATGAGAGGTTTATTGGGCTTCAGCACAGGCTTCCGAGGGTTCCCAAACCGCGCCAGGCGACCCCGCAGGCTGGGTGTCGCCATCGCACACCCAGCTCCCGGCAGGCTTTGCGGTTCCGTGCGTGACCTCGCGAGATCCCTACGGGCTTGACGAATCACTGCGGAGCTCTGGGAAGGCTCAATGGCTTGCTGGCGGCCACCTCTTTCTTTTATTTGTCCGGGGCTGCGGCGATGCTGGGTTCGAACAGCGGCGGGTTCGTACTCATCAGCAGATTAGGAGGAGACTCTGGGTTCGTACGCCGACTGAGGCTTCTCCTTGATGGGCTCCGGGCCCCGAAGTCTGGGGGCAGTACGAGGCCGGGGACATGCAGGAAAGGGCCCTGGTAAGTGGACACTCTTCTGGTGGTAACCGGCTTGGTCTAGGGGCTATTGGCATAGGGCGGGGTGGGGGGGGGAGCGAATCAAAATTTGAGATTTTAAGATGTTGGGTTGGGAAAGATTATTGTTTTACTTTAATAAACCTTGCAAGAACTGTTGTTTTTCACTACCTATAGGACCACTACAAAGCCGCAAAGAAAAATTAGACGTTTCATTTTATAACAACTGCTGCTGCTACTACTAGATACCATTTGCTCATTTATAACAATCTCAGTTGATAGGATGAAGCTTAAACACTTGGCATTCATCGTCTTTTTTAATCCTCTCGCCAGTCTTACAGACTTGGACCTTCAGTTGTGATGCTTCATCAGACTTTTTTATGAGACAGGGCCTCTCTTGGTTGCCCAGACTGGAGTTCTAGTGGCACATTCGTAGCTCACTGCAGCTTCAAACTTCTGAACTCAAACGATCCTCCCGCCTCTGCCTCCTGGGTAGCTGAAACCACAGGTGCAAGACACCACGCCCAGCTAATTATTTTTTGTAGTGACGGGGTTCTGTCATATTGCCTGGACTGGTCTCCAACTCCTGGGCTCAAGCGATCCTCCTGCCTCGCCCTCCCAAAGTGCTTTACATGACTGAGCCTCTGCGCCCAGCCAGACTTGGTTCTCAAGTTACTTCTGGCTGTTTACAAAAACTCATTCCAAAGATGTGCAGCGTATTCTCATAGCATTTCCAAATAAGCTCCAAGAAATGTTTTTGGTAATGGAAGCAGAAACAAGCCTGTAGCTCATGACTGCTTTGGAGGAGCAACATTTATTTGGATTTGTAAATGTAGTGTGTTAAAAATGACTTATCACAGATATTTGGAATCTTCCCACTGATTTCTGCATGGCTGGTTGTTTTTCTTCCCTTAAGTCTCAGTTAATGTCAGAGGGCTTCTCTGACCTCTCCCACCCCACCACCATCAACCTGTTTTCTTCATAGCACCTATCACCGTCTGAAGTGTCTTATTATGGCCTGACCTATCCCTAACACCCATTTAAAAATGTAAGCATGAAAGAAGGAACGTTGTCTATCTTGTTCATTGCTGAATCCCCAGTGCCTAGAATAGTACCAATAAATACTTGTTAAATGAACAAACGTTTTATTTATTTATTTTTGGATTTGGGGTCTTGTTCTGTCACCCAGGTTGGAGTGCAGTGGAATGATTAGCTTACTGCAGCCTTGGCCTCACTCCAGTGATCCTCCTGCTTCAGCTGCTGGAGTAGCTGCAACCACAGGCTCACACCACCAAACCCGGCTGGCTAGGTTTTTTTTTATTTTTTGTAGAGATGGGGTCTCAGTATGTTGCCCAGACTACTCTTGAACTCCTGGGCTCAAGTGCGCTTCCTGCCTTGGCCTCCCAAAGTGCTGGGATTACAGGCATGAGCCACCACACCCAACCTGAACCTTTTTTACAAATCTCCAACTTTATTACACCCACCCCCAAAAAATAATGAAGCAGAAGACATTATTTAACAAGAAGCAGTTTATTATACAAAACGAAACCTGAGGTAATAGAAAATAACACTTGCAGTAATAAAGGAAGCAGCCTTGCACTCCACCTCCACACTCCAGAGTATAATTAAAAGACTCCTAGCAGACATTTCTGTCACTAATAATGCCAACCTGCAGTGAGTGAGTCTGCTGCTGTATACAGAGCAGGCTGGGCCCCAAATCAGAAAATTCATATTGCTTGCTTTCTCTATAGGGAAAGTGAAGCTTTCAGTAAGTATCATGTGGCTATTCTTGATTCTACTTTCCCTTGTGGAAATGTAACACCTGGTTTACACTGCTCTTTTCTGAGTACTTATATGGTGATAGGAATAAAGGAGAAAGTCTGGAAAGCACCGAGCACAAAGCAGGCCTGAGGCTCCAGCAACAATCATTCAGAAACAACTGCCCACTTTATACGTCAAAGTACCAAAGGAATGCCAATGTGAGCTCGTGTCATTAGAAGGAGAGGTAAGGATAATTCTACACCTTGCTTAACTATCATTTAACCTTTTTATTGCACATAATGAAATTTAAGTCCTGACCTAGGTCTGTACTTATGTAATATGTATTATGCACTCTAAATTAGCATCTGCATTTAGATAGATTGCAAGCTTAGAAATCAGTCCTGCATTTGACCTCTTTTGTCAGTGCCTACTATATCAAATTTTAACAGAATTTTTTTTTTTTTGAGATAGAGTTTTACTCTTGTTGCCCAGGCTAGAGTGCAATGGCGTGATGTCGGTTCACCACTACCTCTGCCTCCTGGGTTCCAGCGATTCTTCTGCCTCAGCCTCCTGAGTAGCTGTGATTACAGTCATGTGCCAGCCACCACGCCCAGCTAATTTTATATTTTTACTAGAGATGAGGTTTCTCCATGTTGGTCAGGCTGGTCTTGAACTCCTGACCTCAGGTGATCTGCCCGCCTTGGCCTCCCAGAGTGCTGGAATTACAGGCGTGAGCCACCGCACCCAGCCCAACAGATTTTTTTTTTTTTTTTTTTAAAGACGGGTCTAGGTTGCCCAGTTGGTACTCATAGGTGCACTCACAGCATACTATAGCCTCAAACTCTTGGGCTCAAGCGATCTTCCTGAAGTTTTTTTTTGTTTTTTTTTTTTTTCAGTTTGTTTTTGAGACAGGGTGTCACTCTGTCACCCAGGCTGGAATGCAGTGGCGATCCTCCCACTTCAGCCTCCCAAGTAGCTGAATCTACAGGCACACACACCATGCCCAGCTAATTTTTTCTATTTTTTGTAGAGATGGGGTTTTGCCATGTTACCCAAGCTGGTCTTGAATCCCTAGGCTCAAGCGATCCTTCCACCTCGGCCTCCCAAAGTGCTGGGATCACAGGTATGAGTCACTGCACCCAGCCTGGAGGTCTTCCCTCTTGTTCTTTTCTGCAAAAGGTCAAACAGGGTAAGCAAACTTTCTGTAATTTATGAAGATCATCTTTTATCAAAGGATTAAATGAAAAAAGAACAACTTTGGCAATGAAATTCAGCCTAATTACAGCTTTTCTTGGCCACATCCTTAGATTTCAGTATATTAAGTGTAGACCCTAGTTGTTGAAGCATCTAACATATATCTATCTATATAGATATGTAGATAGAGGTATAGATAATATACTGATAAACTGTGGAACTTCTCTAGTGATAACTCATTAATACATTACAACTAGAGTAGCTCTAAGGTCCAAGGTATTCTTTCCTGTTCCACTGCCTCAGAAAGAGCTAATGGTTTCCCTGCTCATTAGACTGTATATTCAAACCACAGCAATAGAAGGGTTTGGCTGCATCCCCAAATCTGACTAAGCATTTTTTTTTTTTTTTTTTTGAGACAGACTCTCGCTCTGTTGCCCAGGCTGGAGTGCAGTGGTGTGATCTCGGCTCACTGCAACCTCCGCCTCCCAGGTTCAAGCAATTCTCCTGCCTCAGCCTCCCAAGTAGCTGGGATTACAGGTGTGAGCCACCTGTTGGTACTGGGTGCGCCCAGCTCTAAGCTTTTATTTAGCCAGCCACTTGTGGCTTAAATATCTTGCCTTGCCTCCTCATCCCTTTGAGTGGGCTCCATCAAAAAATAGTCTCAGGCTGGGCACGGTGGCTCACTCCTATAATCCCAGCACTTTGGGAGGCCAAGACAAGTGGATCATTTGAGGTCAGGAGTCTGAGACCAGCCTGGCCAACATGGCGAAACCCCATTTCTACTAAAATACAAAAAAGTTAGCCAGGCATGGTGTTGCGCGCCTGTGATCCCACCACTCTGGAGGCTGAAGCATGAGAATTGCTTGAACATGGGAGGCAGAGGCTGCAGTGAGCCAAAATTGTGCCACTGCACTCTAGCCTTGGTGATGCAGTGAGACTCTACCTCAAAAAAAAAAAAAGGCGGGGGGCCTGGGCACGGTGGCTCACGCCTGTAATCCCAGCACTTTGGGAGGCCAAGCCAAGTGAATCATCTGAGCTCAGGAGTTCGAGACCAGACTGGCTAACATGGTGAAACCCCATCTCTACTAAAAATACAAAAATTAGCTAGACATGGTGGCAGGCACCTGTAATCGCCACTACTCAGGAGGCTGAGGCAGAAGAATCACTTGAACTGGGGAGGCGGAGATTCTAGTGAGCTGAGATCGCACCATTGCACTCCAGCCTGGGCGACAAGGGCGAAACTCCATCTCAAAAAAAAAAAAAGGTCATATGGAAGCCTATCCGTAATACAGTGAATGAAGCTGGACTATTCATTGCACTTAAAAGTGAAAAGTGCTACAGATTATAAAATAATTACTAAAACATACTGCTACACTGTTTCCATAACTGCAGAAGATGGGACTTTGTAGCATATAAAAACAATAAAATAGAGGGAACAGTTCATTAGGCAAACAAAAGAATTAGGAACTATAAAAATTTGCACTTTTTTCCCTGGGCTTCCTTTTTTTTTTTTTTTTTTTTGGTCAACATACCGAAAAATTTGCACTTTGACTCATATTGGCCTATTTTAACATTTCAAAATCATTTAAAGAAAAATATGACTTTTTCTGTCATAATTCCCAGTCTTAGTCTCCATCTTTGATCAAAAAGAGGACAGGGCAATACATTAAATTGACAAGGCATATAACAGCCACTGAATCTTTCTGTTCATGAGAAGGAATCCCAGATATACCATAAATAAGATGCAAACCAGCAGTAAGAATGATGGCAAGGTTTCTGTATTTCCATCAGAAATTGTGGGAAAGGGCCTAAAACCAGGAAAGACAAGGCCATTAAAAATATGTATTTGGGCCAGGCACGGTGGCTCAAGCCTGTAATCCCAGCACTTTGGGAGGCCGAGACGGGCGGATCACGAGGTCAGGAGATCGAGACCATCCTGGCTAACACAGTGAAACCCCGTCTCTACTAAAAAATACAAAAAACTAGCCGGGCGAGGTGGCGGGCACCTGTAGTCCCAGCTACTCGGGAGGCTGAGGCAGGAGAATGGCGTAGACCCGGGAGGCGGAGCTTGCAGTGAGCTGAGATCCGGCCACTGCACTCCAGCCTGGGCGACAGAGCGAGACTCCGTCTCCAAAAAAAAAAAAAAAAAAAAATATGTATTTGAGGCCGGGTGTAGTGGCTCACGCCTGTAATCCCAGCACTTTGGGAGGCCAAGGCAGGCGGATCACGAGGTCAAAAGATCAAGACTATCCTTGCCAACATGGCGAAACCCCTTCTCTACTAAAAATACAAAAAATTAGCTGGGCGTGGTGGTGCATGCCTGTAGTCCCAGCTACTCAGGAAGCTGAGGCAGGAGAATCGCTTGAAACAGGGAGGTGGAGGTTGCAGTGAGCCGAGAACATGCCATTGCACTCCAGCCTGGTGACAGAGCGAGACTCTGTCTTAAAAAAAAATATATATATATATATATATAATTTCAGACGGTGTCTCGCTCTGTCACCCAGGCTGGAGTGCAGTGATCATGATCATAGCTCACTGCAGCCTTAAATTCCTGGACTCAAGTGATCCTCCTGCCTCAACCTCCCAAGTATCTAGGGCTACAGGTGTGCACCACCATGCCCTGCTAATTCTTTTATATTTTTTAGAAACAGGGTCTTGCTAGGATGGTCTTAAACTCCTGGCTTCAAGCAGTCGCCCCTCCTCAGCTTCCCAAAGTGTTGGGATTACAGGCATAAGCCACTACACCTGGACAGAAAAAGGCAAAAAAAAAAAAAAACAAAAAAAAAACCCTAGGGCTGGGTAAGGTGGCTGATGCCTGTAAACCCAGCACTCTGGGAGGCCAAGGCGGATGGATTGCTTGATCCAGGAGTTGGAGACCAACCTGGGCAACATGGCAAAACTTCATCTCTACAAAAAAATACAAAAAAAAAAAAGGAAAATAGAAGTTTGACATGAAAGCAAAGTACATAATATAAAAAATGCAAAAAAACAGAATACAACTCACCAGAAGTTTTGCTTCTCCACCAACATAACAATTTATAAAGCAAGAGATGAGAAGAAGAGATTATTGGGAAACGTACTGAATAATGAGGAGTTTGGGGAATAGAACAAAAGTTGTAAGTCGTAACCTGACCCATCTTACTTCATTGGTAGTCAAGTACAGCTCAAAGGATGAAACAGAGAATTGAGTAATTTAAAAACTCTTCAACCAGCACCTTGAATCAAATGGATGTTTTAGGGTTCTGTTTCTCACTGAACCAAGAATTGTATGCCTCCATCTCTCCTTGAGGAGAGGCCCTATGTTAGACCTTGGCTACTCATCATTAATATAAAATCTTAATAGATAAAACTGGAATGCCTTGAATCCATGAAAAGACAGTGTTCAGTAAGGGTTTGTGCAATGGATGCTCCTTATGTCCCATGGTAGAATAAAATCTCCTTAGCTCCGCCAAGTTAAAGGTTCTTGCAAGGGCACTTAGAGATGTTGCCTTTTCATGAAGATTTCATGTAGGTAATCCCAAAATTTCCTCTGCTCTGTTTCATTGTTGTGGATCATGGCAGTGAGAGCTTCCCCCTGGTCCAGACCTTGCCAATAATCTTGCAGCCACATCTCTTTCCAACTGAAATACCAAAATGGGGGTTGGATTATGGAACTGCAGCATAGTTATGAGTCCTGCCTTTTTCTGAGTGGGGCCAAAGAAATCTTAAGCAGATACAGTGGTCTCTAACTTGGACAAGACTGCTGCGATGGGAAGACAACATGAAGTAAATCCAATATTAGCCCAAGTGACAGGCTAAAAGCCACAAATACAAAGCCTACCCAATTGATTACAATTCCTGACTTGCCTGCTTCTGGCTCCCAAATGTGGAGGGGGTTCAGAGGCAGGCAAAGCAGAGGTCAGACTGGAAGTGGTAGTCTCCATAAGGAAAGCAAGGGGGCAGGGGTCTTTAGATGATTATCTTTTAAGTTTCACCTTTCTCCCAATAATCAAAATGAAGGTGCATCAAAATGAAGTAGCATCCAGCATCTAGAAAAGACATAACCTGAATATTTATTTTCTTAATGTTTCACATTTTTTTTGTACTTTTCCTCTAGTAAATCATATTATGTTCAGATACAAACAATTTGTAATTAGATACAAATTACTTGGTGAAGCATTCCAACCATCGGGACAAAACTGCCAGCAGCATCTATTAATAAATGGCCTTCTGCTGCCATTCACTGTCCAAGTCGGTCTCTGTAGGCCATTCTAGCAGTCTTACTTAAGCTTAATAATCTTATCACCTCTCCCCCAACAGGTGTGGCTTGCTACAAGTGCTTTCAACATTTCCCCCCCCCACACCTCATGCTGGCCTTGTTTCCCAATACCACCACCTTTTGCCACCTACTGCAGTAGCCTATTCGCTTCCCTTCTGATGCACATTGCGCATTGTTGTGTGTGTGTGTGTGTGTGTGAGACACAGTCTTACTCCAACCCAGGCTGGAATGCAGTGGCACGATCCTAGCTCACTACAGCATTGAACTCCTGGGTTCAAGCAATCCACCTGCCACAGCCTCCCAAGTAGCCAGGACTACAGGTATGCATCACCACCCCAGGCTTTTAGCTTTTAAATTGTACAGAGAGGGTTTTGTTACATTGTCCAGGCTAGTCTGGAACCCCTGGCCTCAAGTGTTCCTCCCACCTTGGCCTCCCAAAGTGCTGGGATTACAGGCGTGAGCCACCATGCCCGGCCATGCCTAGTTTTTCTAGTTACACAGGCAGTGTGTCCCCACATGCACCAAGTACATGGGGCTCATCCTCAGCACAGCTGCTTAAAAAAAATTATGGCTGGTTAACAGGTGGAAGCCCTGACTACTGCAGAAAAGCCTCCCTCAAAATGCTCTCCTCTACTCCCCACCCCCATGTCCACTCTATAAAAGGTGCTCAAATAGTTGAGTTTTTAGTGCAGTCCAAACTCCTGAGCCTGGTATTAATGATATTTACAGCCTTGCCCCTATTTATTTGCCCCATTTTCTCTCTCCCCTGTCTGCACAGGCCCTGGGTTCTGGTTCAATCTTTTTGAACCACTACTGGAAACATTGTCCACATAAGCTGATTTTCATTTGTTGCCTTGAATTATATTTTACATCTATTCAGCTTTTTCAGCTTGTCTTATCCTAACCCCAATTAGACTGCTGACACCTTAAAGACAGAGTGAGCACATATCATAATTTCCTCCTGCACCTGCTCAGCACCTAGTGCTACTTAATTGTCCACAGTAAGCAAGTAAGTAAATGATTTGATGGCTGCAGGGGACCCCAGCATTCTTACCTGTCATTCTCAGGAATCTCTTCCACATTGCCAAAGCCAGGTGTGGGCATTGGGCAGTCCATGTGTGAGGGCTGGGCAATGTGGGGCTCAAGGACGGGGCTGTCCCCGGGAGAGGCCGCGTGGGCTTTCTCGACATCCAGCCGAGCCAGTTCGTGGTCACAGACGAAACACTCGAAGCCGTTGAGGTAGTTAGGCAGCAAAGGATCATTCACTCCCCACTCCCGATGCTTCAGACTATCCAGAAGGAATTGGTTGGTGATGCCCCCAGGTTGCTTGTATGCCAGGTATTTCATATATTCCTCATCATTCTTGTCCAGAAAGTCAATAAACTCTGCCAGCTTCTGAGGAGACTCAAAATCATCAATCAGGATGACGGAGTGATTGTTCGGCATCCAGTCCCTCACAGAGGGAGAGCCGCGGTACACGGGCACAGCGCCCAGATGCATGGGACGCCACAGTTTTTCTGTCATGTAGTCGTTACAGATGGCATTTTCCAGGGCCAAGTGGAACTTATAGCGGGACAAGAAAGCCAAGAGCTCTGGATCCTCGGTGGTGGCCGTGGCTGTGTCCTGTAGCCGCGCAGTGGGCAGCTCCCGATTCTGCAGGCATTTCCCGTAGGAGTCTACCTAGACCGGGTAGAATAGGGACGTCATGAGGGTGCGGCCCGGAGGCCTGGACACCCAGAGTCCTGGCCTCAGCCCGCCCCCTCTTTTCCCTCCCCTCCCGCCCGCCCTCACTCACTCACCGGGATGTGGCGCATGAGCTCGCGCACGTAGCGGTCCCGGTCCGCAGGCACGTCGCAGTGGGACTGGAGATAGAGCAGCGGGGCGTAGCCGCGGCGGCGCCACTCCGCGCGTTCCCGGAGCGGAGGCACTGGGCGGCGCAGATAGGCGGTCCCGGGCAGCCACTGCAGCGACAGCGGGTAATCCGAGTGGCGACTGAATGTGGAGGTAAGATTGAAGAGGCGGATGCCCGGGCCGTGGCTCAGCAAGAAGTTGTTGAGGGGCGACTCCTCGTGGAGGAGCGCCCAGCTCTGGTGCGCCAGGCGCGGCAGCGGCGCGGCCGAAGCGCGGAAGTCGGTGCCGTAGAAGAGCAGCGCGCGCGTCCGCGAGTCCCTCAGCGCTCCGCGGTTCCGGGACGCCACGCACGCGCCGCGCGCACACTCGATGCGCTCCGAGTCTCCCGGGAAGTGGGGGAATAGCCCTGGGCTCCACCACAGCAGCACCGGCAAATCTCCGGCCTCCTCCCTCCCTGGTCTCGGCGTTCCGGAGCTGCGCGTCACCCCCACTGCGCCCAGCGCCGAGGGCGGCCGGAAAACCGCGCCATCCCACGGTTCCGCCCACTCCGCCTCACCGCCGGCCTCCCTCTCCGCCACGGACCCATAGGCGCTGGCTGCACAGACACTGAGCACCCCCAGGAGGGCCAGCACCGCCCCAGTGGGGCCGGCCGCCATGTCCACTCTGGCAGCCGGCGCCCTCGGCCGGCACGCACCCCGCCCAGTGGCTAGTTGTGACTGGACGAGGCTCTATGCCACGGGAGCACGCGGCGCATGCGCAGCTCCGCTCAGCCGACGGCCAGGGCTAAAAGCAAAGTGAGCTTTCGGGAGTAAACATGAGGCTAATGGTTACATCTTAATTTATTTTATTTCTTTACAAATTAAAGATGCATTGAAAAATAAACCAATGAGAAATGAGAGGTCCAGAGCAGGGGCATCCCAGGCGGGGAGCAGGCAAGCCTGGCCACCGTCAAGCCTAGCCCTTGTCCTGCCCCCAAGCCAGTTGGGGTTGGAAGATAACTGTCAGCCACTCTGTCAATACCAAAGCCCAAGCGGTGTCCCGGCAGGAGAGAATGGCGCTCCAGCTGCCTCTGCCTCTCTCCCCAACAACCCCGGGCCTGAAGAAGCAGTGTTTCTCATGGGAGCTCAGAGTGGGATGTGAACTGGCTCTGTGAGGTATTGCAAGTTGATGACCAGGCTCCCTAGGCTCCCTATAGAACCATCCAGTGTTGGGGCCTCTCCAGCTGGAAAGGAGACTGGTACCTCTCCCAGATCTTAATATACTTTGCAACTGAATTCCCAGGTCATCTCTGACAGTGTCTCTCTATCCACGGAGTGATCATCAATCATTGCAGGAGAGAGCGAGTGAGCAGTGAAAGCAGAGAAACTTGACTTCTAACCTCCAGGCCCAAGAAGGACTGACCACTTTTCTCTCCATTACCTATGGGCTATACCCCAGCTCTTGTGCACCTGTATGTTTTATCCCTAATATAGGAAGTTGTGGATGACACTGAGCTGAATTAGCCACCCCCTGTAGTAACCTTAGGATCCCCACTCTTTCCTGCCTGCCCCTCTCCTCTGGGGAGACTGGCCCAAAGGGACACATAATATTGCCAGGGTCTGGGTGCCTCCAGACCCCCAATACCGAATCATATACAGTGAACTGAGAAACTACATTCATTATGACAGGATTAGCAGGAAAAAGAGGGTAGAGTGAGGGAACAGGGGCACCTTCGATCAGCAGGACATGACAGAGTGGCAGGATAGTTGAGCCCAGAAAGAAGGTGTCTCCTTATATCTCCCCCTCCCCCCCAAAGAGACTGAGGTCAGCTTACATGACATAAGATATGGTACTGTCCCAATTTCTCTGACATCCTGGGGTGCTTTCTGGAAGCTGGCCTGGGCCCTGTGCCATTTACCCACTTGCTTTAGCTCAGTAGCTGCCGAATCTCCTTGTGCATATGACAGAGAAAGTCCACATAAGATGCTCCCCCACTCAGACTCTTATCTTCCACCAGGAAGTGCTTGAACAGCATCTCCAGCTTGTCCTCCTGTTTCACCACGATAAGCTATAGCCAGAATTCAGGGTTCATGAGGCAATGCCAAAGGAAATTAAACATGCCCAGAAATCCCATTTGGCAGTCACTTACTCATTCCCCACCCAACCCCCACTTCTAGGCGAGGACTTGACCCGGTAAGAAATCCAGGGTTCAGATCAGTGTTACCTTCATGTACCGGGATCTCTGTGCCCTTAAGCTATCAATGAGGCCTCGAACCTTCTTGGACAGTGGATTATCCAGAACTGGCAGAACACTCTAGAACACAAAATTCATTTATCCTTATGGTAAGGCACTCTGAGTTCAGTCAAGGTGGGGCAGCACACATCTATGCATCATCTGAAACAAGGAAGCCTGGGAAGAATGACAGCAACTGCCCTTGTCCCCAAGTGTTCCCTGATATTTAAGGGGACTAGCACACTAACTTTATTGGCTCCCAATCGTTTCACAAAGTATACTTCCACACCCATATTCTCCTTGACTCCTTGCCCTCACCAAGCCACTGGTGATCTGACTGAAGGAAGAGACGCTGAAAAGGCTCTGGACAACACCCTGTTGGACGCTTGCTCCCACCCAGAGGAAGAGGTTGAGGCCATTCTCCAGTAAATACATATCCCCATTGCTTAGACGCTCTTCAGAGGCTCGAACTGCTGGTGGTTCGGTGGTACTCTCGATGGGAGACTTTGTCTAGACAAAAGGAAGGGAGCAAAAGGTTACCAAGGACCATAAGACAAGTCTGTCCCCCACCACACACAAAATTCTGAAAGCTAAGTCCTCAGATACCACCCCTTCTGGGGTCTCAGTAACTCTCTCAGTGTGAAAATTGCATCAGCTAAAATACATAAAAACAAATTCCACTAGTGTCAGACTGATATTAGCCTATCCTTTCCTCCTCCTAAGAGGCCCTTTGCTCCATGCAAGATCTCAAACTCCAACCCTCAATCGCACCAAAGGTAAGAGCCGAGGGTAGAAGAAGACATTGGTCTCAGCCACATCCATGGAGGTAACTAGCTGTCGGACATAGGCACGGTCATCAGTAGTTATTTCAGCTCCAGGCTGCAGGACATCACTCTTCAACACACAGTTCAGGTAAACTGGGAGTAGCTTCATGCACTCAGGAAGGATCAACTGAGGGGATTATCAAAATAAAGTCGATGATCATGAGAAATCCCTCCCAAATGCAAACATTTGTCCCAACAACCCCACCTCCCACTAATATACTTGCCCCACCTGTCCTGCAGAGGAGGGGCTAGCACAGTTCTTTCTGTAACAGGCCAGGATCTGGGCACACTGGGTGATGAGAGTGTCACGAACAGCCTTCACAGGGCTATTCAGGACTCCCCGATATGCTGGATGGGAAAGCAAAGACAGTCACTGGTCAGCTGCCCATCATGTATGCATTCCCACCATCATAACTACCCGCTCACCATCCTGGACCTCTCAGCCCCAATCCCACCCTGCCCTGCCTCTACCCTCACCAAACTTGGCCATGTAGTTGATGAGCGTGTCAGTCTCACAGTTTCGATACAGATCAGCCAGCTGGGTGCAGCAGTTCAGGGCCAGGTTATGGATGCGGAGCCGACGCTGCCCTGCACAGCTGGTGTAAAGCAGGGCACACTAGGGGAAGGGAGAAAGGGGGAACTCACACTCCTCCCTCACAAAGGCCCTTTGCTACATTATTAAACTAAAAGAGAGAAATGAGCCACTCCCCTGCCCAGTCTCTTCTTCCAGTGCTCTCTACCCACTCCTCACCCTCTTCTATACCAAGCGAATGACACATTTCCTGCCCAGCCCCGCCTCCCGCCTGCCACCTGCAGGAGGGCTCCGCTCTCTTCATTGAGCCGATCATCATGCTTGAACTCCACAGTCACCGTTTTGTCCCCATCTAGCCCAGCCAGCTCCACGTCTGTTGTGTTGCTCATGTAGAAAGCTCCAAAGAAATCTACAGCACGGATACCTGAGGCCACATGGACAGAGTTAGGGCAAAAGGTATGACAAGTGCCACATGCCTCCCTTCCAGACTTAGGCCCCCCACCTGCTCTTCTCCAACCAGGACTGACCAGTGCTTGTCCGGACCCGCATCACAGCATCAAAGCCAACAACCTTCTGGACATCACGACGCAGGTCACTCAGGAACCGCTCCTGGTCGTTCTCCACCTGCAGGGCCCCAGACCCAGAGTCATATCACTGACTAGACATAGCTCATCCTGCAGACAATCTCCCTGTACCCCTTCCACTCTACAAGGCTGCCTAATTATCATCATTACAGTGACGATGATAATGATGATGACAACAATAGCTTTTAAACAGACTGCACACCAGGTACCACACAGAGTGCTTTACATATAATTATTTAATTTTGTAGACAAATCCTACTTAAGTATTTTAACCCCATTTTGCAGATGAAGGAACAAAAGAGGGAGTACTTAAGTAATTTATCCTAGGTCATGTAGCTAGTAAGTGGTGGGGCCAGAATATCAATGCAGGACTGATTCCAAGGCCCATGTTCCTAACTGCCACACTCTCGGGCTCACTTCTTTAGACTATGCAGTCTTCTCTTCCAACACTATTTCTCTTTTTTTGGAGACGGAGTCTTACTCTGTCGCCCTGCCTAGAGTGCAGTGGCGCAATCTTCACTCACTGCAACCTCCGCCTCCCGGGTTCAAGGGATTCTTAGCCTCCCGAGTAGCTGGGATTACAGGCACCCGCCACCACACCCGAGTAATTTTTGTATTTTTAGTAGAGATGGGGTTTTGCCATGTTGGCCAGGATGGTCTTGAACACCTGACCTCAGGTGATCCGCCTGCCTCACCCTCCCAAAGTGCTGGGATTACAGGCGTGAGGCACCATGCCCAGCCCCAATGCTATTTCTATTAATGAGTCAGCCACTCCATATATAAGCAGGTATTCCCAGCCCCGCTGCCATCTGCCACTGCAAATACTATTACCATACCTGAAAGCAAGCATATTTGTAGACAGAGCCACCGGTGAGCTGGGGCACAACAGAGAGCGTGGCCACATCCACATACTGGTTAGGGAAGAGAAAGAGATCTACACAGCAGCCTTGGGCCACACACTCTTTGGCCAGGGTCTGATAGGCACCTGTCTGAGGCTGGAACAGAGTCTAGGGGGAAGGGAAATGGGGAGAAGAAAATGTTCAAATATCCCAGCTCTGCCCTATTTGAGAACTGAATAGCTAGCATGGGATATTCAAATTCATGGGAGACTTCAGATCTACTTCCAAGGATTTTGCAATAGTAAAAAATTCTCTTTTATATTATTTTTATTTTTTTGAGACAGGGTCTCACTCTGTCGCCCACGCTGGCATAGAGTGGCGTGATCTCAGCTCACTGCAACCTCTGCCTCCCAGGTTCAAGCGATTCTCCTGCCTCAGCCTCCCAAGTAGTTGGGATTACAGGTGTGTGCCATCACGCCCGGCTAATTTTTGTATTTTTAGTAGAGACGGGGTTTTGCCATGTTAGTCAGGCTGGTCTCGAACTTCTGGCCTCAAAAATCCGCCCACCTTGGCCTCCCAAAGCACTCGGATTATAGGCATGAGCCACTGTGCCTGGCCAAAAGTTCTCCTTTAAAAAATAAACAGAAGTCTACCAACAGCTTTGGCATCAGATGGAGTAGAGAAGTATGGCAGCAGTGGAGGTTGGTAGTCACAGATACGGTATTTGAAAGGGTGGAGTGTCTGGTCCTAGCCCCCATCAAGAAAATAGAGTCCCCACTTCCTCTGTAATGAAAAATCCTTCCCCTCCCCCATTTTCCAGTCCCACACCTTCT